AAAAAAAAAAAAAAAAAAAAAAAAAAAAAAAAAAAAAAAAACACACACACACACACAATAACAACACACACACAACACAAAAAAAAATAAAATAAAATAAAATAGAATAAAATAAAATAAAATAAATTACTTTTGTTTTAGCTTGAATACATAGCTGACGTCGTGTACGCGGAGAATGTCAGCGAGGGAGGCGGGGGGAGCCGTCTCCACCCAATCGAGAGAACCAAACTCAAACGCACGCAGCACACCGCAGCTGCGGTGCACCAGCACCTGCAGCAGCAGCAGCAGCAGCAGCAGCAGCAGCAGCAGCAGCAGCAGCAGCAGCAGAGGAGGAGGAGATGATGGTGATGCAGATGATGCAGAAACGGAAACGGGTGAAAAAAAATACAAATAGGAAGAGATATGGAAGCAGCAGCAGCAACAGCAACAGCAGCAACAGCAGCAGCAGCAACAGCAGCAGCAGCAGCAACAGCAGCAAAAGACCATCCTGCTACTCCTGCTACTCCTACTCCTGCTGCTACTCCTACTCCTCCTCCTCCTGCCACTGCTGCTGCTGCTGCTGCTGCATGCATGTGTGTCATACCTCAAGCCTGCTGGGGTTTTCAGGAAACCTCTGCATGAGTTTAAATCTTTTGATAGGAAAGTCCATCGGCTCTGGTAGCGGCAGATGAGAGAAGCAGTTTGGGTGTGTTGCTAGCAGTGTACACTTTGCTTCGATGATACGGTATACTATGCTGCTGCTGCTGCTGCACCGTTGCTGCATGTATACATAATGCTGCTCCTGCTCCTGCTGCTGCTGCTGCTCCTGCTGCTGGGGGTGATGGGGGTGGTGGGGGTAGGGGTGGTCTTGCTGCTGCTGCTGCTGCTGATGATGATGAGGGGTGGATGGGGTGTATAGGGTTGGGGGGGTTGTGCTGCTGATGACTTCTGCTATTGCTGCTGCTGCAGCAGCAAATGTTTTGTTTTCGTTTTTATTTATTAATTCGGATAAAGTTAATAAAAATAAATGCATGCAGCCGACACGACGAGAAACAGAAAACAAAGAACGCAGCTGATGCAAGTCTAACAAATGCAACGCCAAGCATGACTCTGCTGCTGCTGCTGCTGCTGCTGCTGCTGTTGGGGATGAACTGCTGCTGCTGCTGCTGCTGCTGCTGCTGCTCCTGGCACGGACCGTAGGGTAAGATAACACAGCAGCAAGACAGCGGAAGGAGCAGCGCCGCACACACCGCCTAGCGAGGCGATACACTAAGCTGCTGCTGCTGCTGCTGCTGCTGCTGCTGCTGCTGCTAGCAGGCTGCAGCAAAGGTCTCCTCTCCATCCGCTGCAGCACCACCTTCTTGGGGGCCCTGCTGTCGGAGGGGGCCCCTGTGAGGCCCCCTTCTGCTGCACTGCCCACCACGATCCTCTGCTGCTGCTGCTGCTGCTGCTGCTGCTGCTGCTGCTGCTGCGGGTCGCTCCAGTAGAAGCAATCTATGGGGAATGTGTGCGCCAGCAGCAGCAGCAACGAGTCAACTGACCTGCTGTCTACTGCTGCATGCAGCGGCAGCAGCCCCCTCTTGTCTGCTATCAAAGGATCAGCCCCCGCATGCAGCAGCAGCTCAACAGCAGCAGCACCACCTGCAGCAGCAGCAACATGCAGCGCCGTTCTCCCGCTGCCGTCTGTAGCATCTAAATCCAGTTCTTGCTGGCAGCAGCCAACCCAAGAAGTCCACTTGCTGCTGCTGCTGCTGCTGCTGCTGTTGCTGCTGCTGCTGTTGCTGCAGTTGTTGCTGTCGCCGCTAACCCTGTTGCTGGGGCTCGTGCAGCAGCTGCTGCTGGTGCTATTGCTGGTGCTAGTACTGCTGCTGCTGCTGCTGCTGCTGCTGCTGGGGGCAGTGGGTGTGAAGCAGCAGCGGCTGCAGACGCGGGAGCCACCTGTCGCTGCATGCAGCAGCCCCACGTGCTGCAGCAGCCGGCGCATGCACTCAGCAGCATCGAGGCGGACCTCAGCAAAGGAGAAGCGGCTGACGAGGATATGCAGGGGGGGGAGGTCATCCATGGGCAGCGAGAAATCCACAGAAACTGCTGTTGCTGCTGCTGCTGCTGCTGCTGCTGCTGCTGCTGCTGCGGGTGAGGTGGGTGTAGATGCCCCTGCTGCTGCTGCTGCTGCTGCTGCTGCTGGCCACTCCCCGCATGCAGACAGACCCTCAGAAGGCCCGACCCCAGAGTCAACACCATCTCCATTGCTGCTGCTGCTGCTGCTGCTGCTGCTGCTGCTGCTGCTGCTGCTGAGGAGAGAATCCGTGGGCAGCTGGATGGGGGGAGGGTTTAGTAAGAGAGAGAGAATGCGCGGCTCACACACATGCAGCGCCACGTGCAGCGGCGTCTCGCCTGCACAGCAGCAGCAACAGCAACAGCAGCAGCAGCATGAAGCAGCAGAAGCTTTCCCGCAGCCCTTTAGCAGCAGCATAAGTAGTAGCAGCAGCAGCAGTCAGTAGCAGCAGCAACAGCGGCAGCAACAGCAGCAGCACGACAAGCATATACAGCAGCAGCATCTACATCAACAGCAGCACTATCAGCAGCACCATCAGCAGCAGAAGCACCATCAGCAGCAGCAGCACCAGCACCATCAGCACCGGCAGCAGCAGCAGCACCAGCAACAGCGGCACCAGCAGCACCAGCAGCAGGAGCAGCAGCAGCAGCAGCAGCAGCAGGAGCAGCAGCAGACCTGCATGATTGAAGTCGTTGATGGTGTCTCTGTATATGGGGTTGCTGAGCCACTGCCGCACCCCGGGGATGTTTTTTGCTGCGATGAGGCGATGCAGGGTCCCCTCTCGGTAGCAGCCAACGTCTCCAGTCAGGTGCAGCAGCGGCTGCTGTGCTGCTGCTGCTGCTGCTGCTGCTGCTGCTGCTGCTGCTGCTGCTGCGGCTGCTGCTGCTGCGGATGCGGCGGCAGGTGTAGAAGATTCGGATGGAGCAGCAGGAGGCGCATCGCTGCTACTGCTGCTGCTGCTGCTGTCACCGCTGTCACCGCCGCTGCTGCCGCTGCTGCTGCTGTTGCTGCTGCTGCTGCTGCTGCTGCTGCTGCTGCTGCTGTTTGCAAAGAAAAGGCCCCCGTCAGGCGAAAGGAACAAAGGACAGTCCGCCATACCCAGGGCGGCTGCTGGGGGGGGAGGAAGCAACTCCTCCTGCTTCATCTGTGTCTGCTGCTGCTGCAGCTGCTGCTGCTGCTGCTGCTGCTGCTGCTGCTCTTAACCGAGAAGCTCATGTACCTGCTGCTGATGCTGATGCTGCTGCTGCTCTTGCTGCTGCAGTTGCTGCTCCTCGTACTACAACACGCTGCTGCAGCTCCTCCTACTGCTGCTCCGATGCTTGCTGCTGCACCTGTTGCTGCTGCGTCTGCTGCTCCTACTGCTGCTGTTTCGTCTGCAGCTGCTGCAGCTGCTGCTGCAGTTGCTGCTGCAGTTGCTGCTGCTGCTGCCTGCACGATATAGGCTGCAGCAGTTCTGTGTGAGGTAAGAGAAGGCCCCCTAGGGCTCAGCGGGGATCGGATCCCCTCGTGTGTGTTGGTGTGGGGTGTGTGTAAGACAGCGAGCTGCTGCTGCTGCAGCTTGCTGCTGCTGCTGCTGTTTGTGTTGCTGCTGCTGCAACGGGGGCCCCCTCGTATATGTGTGTGT